AACACATCGGGAAACCTGACTCTTCAGATGAATCTATCCTACAAATGTGTCAAAAGGCTTTAGATAATGTGACACAAAAAGTTTGGAACAATACAGTCAACCATTGCGACAAATTAATACAACAAGATATAAAAAACCAAATTTGTCTCGAAGTGTTCAAAAAGAAATTGTAATTAGGGTAAATTCAGATGAAGTAAGTGGTAGCGATTTCAGTGACATTGACGACACAGATAGTGAAAGTGATAGTAACATGTGGGTTAAATAGTAAAATATTGTAAATTACTAAATACATAGTAGTTATATTTCTTTTGTAAATAAAATTTCTCAACTGTTATGTTTTGGGTGAGTGAAGTAGGTAGGCGTGCTGGAGTTTCTTGTCTTTTTTAAACGACCTAAGTGCGAGAAAGACAACATACCACTTGTGGGACCAGAGAGCGGCATAACGTTTATCTTACTTGCTCCCATCTACTTACCTGAAGAGCGAGAGAGACACCAAAGTTTTATGACAATCGGGTAAAATTAAAAGAATTTTTCTATATTAAAGCGACCAGCTGGCCGTTGAAACAACCTCAGAAGAAACAAACCTTTACAATTGAGGAGGTTGGGGTTTCTTTATCGCTAAAAACCTCTATTGCACTATAAAATTCAAGCAAATATAGACAGACTTTAATCTAAACGAATACCTAATAATTCAATAAATAAATACTGTATCTAGCTAAAAATCTTTTAGGATTAAATAGTCAATTTATTCCTCCATGCTAAAAAATGCAACTCATTTTATTTTAACTCTGTCTTTATCTTTATCAAGGCGTTAAACATTAATTAAATCTCAAAAGGTCATTCGTGGTAAGAGAACACCCACTCTTCTTAATATTTAGTACTTCCTGAAGAACATTTTTTGTCGTTTCTTCCCGGTTTTTACCCATATGCATAAAATACAAATCGGTATCGTTAATTTGAACATACATAATACAAGGTTCCTTTTGGAATTACTTTAATGTGTAGCAAATGTTGTGTAATCTCAGTTTATTTTGAAGACTCTCAATAGTTTCTTCGTCGGCCTAAATACCTGACAGATGATAAAATGTTACAAAATCCTATTCTTACCAAAGTGATGCCAGAACTTGGTTCAAGAATCTGACTCGTTTTTGACAAAGTAACCTTTGTTCCATTTAATGTGAGTCGATTATACTTTTCTATAATTGTTTATTGTAATTGTTGTTTTTTCGTAAAACTGGATCATTTTTCTTAACCCTTAGAATTACTTTTAAAATATATACAAAAACTACATCAAAACTTACAATTCCAACATTTGTCTTGCAGCATCCTGCTTGGCGTCTTTCTTATTCATCCCTTTCCCTATGCTTTTTTTATCCATAAAAGAACATTTAAAGAAAAAGTGGCCGTTTACCGAAACCGTGAGAAAATCATAATTTGGATACTTTGCGACATATTTGACTGCGTATTCGTTCAATTCGCTGACGACATTTCTAAAAACATTATCAACATAAGGTGAGGATGCTTGTTCTAAAATTAGAATTTCCGAAGACTCATGATCTTCTTTTAGTTTCATGAGAGCGTTTTTAGCGCTTTCGTGTTTTTAGGGGTCTTTTTGGAGGTTCCGTAACCAAAAGCAGTCACGCCAGCTGCACGAGCAGTACATTTAGAACAACTCCTGCACTAATGAGGCTGGTGTATTTTGTTAATATTTGCATTTGCTTTTTTAAATTTATTGAATAAATCAATTACTAGTCATTTTGACGCTCTTGACAACCTACTAATTTTCATCCAGCTCACATTGATTACTGAATTAATTTAAATAAAATATTATATCCAGTTACATACGCTACAGGTATTTTAGGTTGCAAACTAATTAATTTTCAAAGTAACTTTCCTGTGAGTAGCCCTGTATGGTAATTCAACACTTGATTTTTGAATTAAGTGTTGAATTACCATAGTTTAACATTCTTTTTTCCTTAGGGAGAGTGTAAAGTGTGACCCGGTATATTATTACATGTTCCACATGTTGTGATGTGGAATGTACTATCTATAATGATATACTATGTTTTTATAATACACCTTTTTTTCATAAAAATAAATTTGAAGTGCCCACCTTAATTAATTTTGAGCTATTTGTGCCCACCCAGAAAAAAAATACTGGCGTCGTCCCCGACTGTTCAAAAATAGTTGTTCATCAAGTCGACTATGCGGACTTCATGCCGATTCACCCAAATGACTATTGTAGTTTCTGAGTACTGTCATGTCTGTCAAATCTTTGGAATAGCTTTTTACTCAATTTTCCTATTTTACGGCAAAGTTGTTTCACGTTATTTTCATTTGTGCTTTATATTTCCGTAATTTTGTGTATTCTGTCGTTTTTAGATTCGAAGCCTGTTTGCATTATTTTTGACAGATCTATCATTAATGACAGCATTCACAATTTAAAAATTTAAATTAAGCGACACGTTGAAATTTCATAGGTAACTTGATTAATAACCATTTTTGAACAGTGTGTATTATTTTTAATGAGATTAATTACCACAGAATTATTTTTATTTTTTTACTGTTAATGAGAAGACTGTTTGATTAATATTTTTTATAGAAACATGTTTCCAAATAAATTTACAAAAATACGAAAGTATTTTTCTTGAATACACGGCCTCCTTGATTATTAAGAGAAATTTCTCTTATACGGCCCCTTGCTTCAGCAAAATGTCTGTTTTTTTTTTGAAATTACATAAATAGGGTGTACCAAGCGCCGTCTATTAGATTCAAATTTAAACTTATCATATGTGTAAGATCGGCTGTATACTTTAATTTCTATAATTTTCTCTAACTTAAAATTTAAATCAACCTTTGTGAAACATTTTGTTCATTAAATTTGACCATATATTTATATGAAAAAGATGGCAGTGCAGTATAATCAAGGTCAAAGCAGTACAATACCAACCTCGCATTCAGTTTCGAAAGAAACGAAATAGACCCACCCTAGGAACAACACTGATTCGGTATGATTTTTTGTAGCAATGCAGCAATTAGCATTCGACCCCTACATAAATGAAAACTCCACAATTTCAAAATGAATGCAAACAATTTTCATAAATTTATTAATTTTCTGTGAGAAATGCGAATTACTTATTAATGTAAATATATTTTTTCTAGAAAATGGTATAGACATTGACGCATTTAAATTGCTTCAGGAAGCAGATTTCACGAAACTAGCTCCAAAACTAGGCGTTCGCAGAAAATTGATCCAACGGTGGAAGAATTTTTCATATTTGTATAATTATTAGTATTATTACACAGGGCGATAAAAAAAGTCATGTCATGACAACGTGACAAATTTTATATCATTTTGTTGGTCTCAGTGAGACAAATCAAATGCACTAAAAAAATTTAAAAAAGTCCACACACTTTGAACTAAATATTTTTTTCTAATTTAAATGAATTTAAAATACTTTAACTTTAAAAAATCATTACTCAATAACTATTAGGCCGATTTCCTTCAAATAAAGACCATTCTAAAGGGATGGACTTGCCCTTTAGAATGATATGCAATTTGAAATTGAATATTGACAAACTTTTCTTCGAACAGTGTTCGAAGAAGTTCGAAGTAAATCGAAGTAATCTAAGAAAAACCCTACGAGTAATTTTTTTTCTTTGTCACCATCGTGTAGAGCATCTTTTTATTAGTAAGAATCCAAATTTTTAAAATAATATACCGAGTAGTTTTTAAAATATGATTTTTTGAAGTTAAGGTTTGCTAATCAAGCATTGTGCCATATAGGAGAAATGCTTGTTAATCTTACTTAAAATTGTATTTTTATAACAATATTTGTTTTAAGACTTCTTTTGCTTAAAAATGGTCAATTGCACTTTCCTTGTTCTACATAGAATAAACAAAAACTGTTTGTTTACTTAAAATAAGCAAAGAGTACCTGTGTACTAATTAAAGCAAATAAAGAGTTTCTTTGATATAAAAATGACCAGCGATCAAAGCCAAGAGGATCTAGAAGTTTAAGGCACTAACCTTAAAAATAAGGACAAATGTTTTTAAAGTCAAATCACTTTCTTGCAGATTTCGACGTGTTCACTTTGTTCTAGCTTTCTAAACTTTTTTTTGAAAATGTTCTCAGCAAATGCTTTCTCATCACTTTTGAGTGTCACCTGATTTATTTTGTTGGTACATTCTACGATTAGCATCAGTTAGTTTGTAGGCAGTAGTCGTTGTGATAACAGTTGCACACGAATAGTTATTGAGTAATGATTTTATGAAGCTAAAGTAGGGGAGACCGGTATCAAATGTAACAGGGGCCAAATGTAACATTCGAAATTGTGCTTCCATCTGTTAAGTTACAGACAAACTACTGTGCCACTAGAGTCGGTTATTATAAGCTAGTTCATTTGCGCAACTTGAATTTCACAACTTTGAAACGTTTCGTCTGTGGTGGAGGAAGTGTGTTTTGTGATCTAAAAAGTAAATAATTCACTGTTCGTTAGATCTGTAATTATGTCCTTATAGTTATGAGAGCGTTAGAATTGACTATTTAGCCGTAACAAGCGCCTTTTAGGCTATAATTCACTACAGTTTGTTTGCCCTAAATTTGAGGTTAAGTTGAAACTTTTTCCACGCAAACAGTTAAAGAGCTGCTGGTGTCGAATGTAACATCTCTCAAGGTGTCGTTTGTAACACTGTTACAATCGGCTCCAGCCGTATTGTTTTTGGATGAAAACTAACCCAAGTAAACGGATGACTATTTATAATATTCCAGCATTGGTGAGAGTGGCTTTTCTGCTAAGTATGACTCCAAAAAATATAACTTCAGGTTTTCAATGCACTGGAATATGACCTTTCAATCGTAATATATTTACTGATAATGAATTCGTGCCTTGTAATGTCACCGATAGACCAATGGAAAAAAATACGGTTGAGGTACACCAACCAAGAAATGATTTCATGGACGACCCTCAAGAAATAATGCAACGCCTCTACCTGTTCCTGAAAATATAGTTCCGCCCCCACCACCAATAAAATGTGTATGTTCTCCAGAAGATTTTCGACCTTTGCCAAAGGCAAATTTTACTAAACCAAAAACAACGGGAAGACAAAAAGGAAAAACAGCAGTGCTTTCAGACACGCCAGAGAAGAAGATTTTGGAGGAAAGATACAAAAATAGAAAGGTGGCTTCTGCCAAGAAGAATCTTCTACAAAATAAAGGAACTGAGAAAAAGAGAAAGAATATCAAGAAAAAGACAAACGGCAAAAAACACAAAGAAGGCTAAAATCGTGAATGAAAAGTCAGAACAGTCTTCCGAGGATGATGATGGTATCTGTCTAGTATGTTGTGAACTTCACCATCAGAGCAAAGAAGATTGGCTTCAGTGTAGGGGGTGCAAACAATGGGCCCACAGTTCCTGTGCTAATAATGATGCATTATTTGTCTGCCATAATTGTTTATCAGACTAATTTGATTAAAATGAGCTGCAACTAAAAATTATTATTATTATTTTCATTATTTTGTTGAAGGTTTGTTAATTTTATGGTTCTTATAATGTTTATAATAAATAATACTGTTATACACATTACTTAAAAATCTTAAATAGCAATAACCTACCCTTAGAACCCTTTTTTCGCCGATGTCACAATTGACACATTCAGCGTTACATTTGACACCAGTGCGGTGTCAATAGTAACGGCTGACATTGAGAAAGATTATAATTTATTAAGGCAAAATAAACTTAACTCTACGAAATCGGACTATCCCCTTGTATTCTAGAAGAATCATGGAAAGTAGGTATCTTTTTTACACATCTTGTTTAATAATATTAATTAATCACAAAAAAAATTAATATATAAATATTGTTACAATTGACACAGGTCTCCCCTATTTTAAATTCATTTAAATTAGAAAAGAATTATTTACTTCAAAGTGTGTGGACTTTTTGAAATTTTTTTTAGTGCATTTGATTTGGCTCCCTGATATGAACAAAATGATATATAATTTGTCAAGTTGTCACGACATGACTTTCTTTTTGTCACCCTGTGTTACTATAATAATACAATTTTTTTTTTTCAATTCAATGTGTTCAAGATTCGATCTTGACAATTAAAATCTACTAACTGTAAAATTTGTTTAACAAAATCAGGATTAATATGTGTGCTGATGGCAAGAGTAAAGAGCAAAAATTGACACTTTGTTCATATCTTTAATCAAGTTCTGAACACGTTACATTTTTTTTTTAATATTACTTTTCATTATGGAAGACAACGATCAAGATTTTTTCATTTTTAGAACTGTGAAATTATGTTTTCTAAAACACCTACAACAGAGTCAATTTTCTCAGACGTTGTAAGTTCATCAAGTTGCTGTTTAGACCAGATATTTGTAGCAGGTACTTCAAGATCTACACCGACTCCCACACAAAATATTACGACGACCCAGCCAAGAGTAACTTATCAATATACTTAACTATATCTAACGCTAAAAATTGTGTGACCTTTTAAATTTTCTTAGTAGTTCTAATGAAGGAAAAGTAATCCATTATTTTTTTCATGGAGAACTAAAAAGAAGACTTCTTGTGAAATTAATAATCAGTAAAGAACTTGACACTGATAAAAATTGTCCATTTTAATATTGTGCTATGTATACCAAGCAGAAGCTATTTTTTTTCTAGAATTCGACGAGTAAAGTTTATTAAGGTATCTCGTGAAATATGCATCATTTTTTAAAGAGGAACAGGAGTCTTCTTACAA